CATGAAGCCAGCATTGTCCCATATAGCCCAACACATATTTTGGCTGTGCGTAAAAACGAACTAGAAACTTTATTCACAGGCTCAGGGCCCCCAGCTAGATCCTTCTGTTTGTGATTGAATCAAAACCAACTATAACTTCATTGGAATGAGTTAAAACCGGTTTGCTGGGCTGTGAACTAGGAGTTGTGTTACCAGGAGTAGCTGATAGGCAGCAGCGTAGCAGAAGGAAGGCCAGCTTGCTGAGTGGACCAGCAAGGCCAGTAAAAAAAGGAGAGAAGGTCATTAACACCCACAAAACAAAGTTTAGAAGTGATTATTCCCCTCTGTTTGGCACTGGTGAGGCCACATCTGGAGTACTGTGTCAAGTTTTGGGCCTCCCACTACTAAGGGATGTGGACAAATTGGAGAGAGTCCAGCTGAGGGCAGTGGAAATAGATGGCTGAAGCACATGACTTTTGAGGAGAGGCTGAGGGAACTGGGCTTATTTCCAAGAGAAGACTGGAGGGGAAGGGGTGGAGATTAAATAACAACCTTCAGCTACCTGAAGGGTAGTTACAACGAAAATGGGGCTAGACTGTTTTTAGTGGTGGCAGATGACAAAACAAGAAGCAATGGTTTCATGTTGCAGCAAGGAAAGTTTAGGATAGATATGAGTAAAAACTTTCTCACTAGGAAGATATTAAAGCACTTGAATCAGCTATTGAGAGAGGTTGTGGAATTACCTTCCTTAGTGGTTTTTAGACCCAGCTAAACAAATAGCTGGTTGTGATGATCTAGCTGGGGATGGTCCTTCTTTGAGCAGGGGGTTGGACTAAAATGGCCTCCTGAAGTCCCTTCCAACCCTGATCTTCTATGATTCCAGCGGCAGGGGAGGTGGCCTCAAGGGACATATTACCTGCCTCATTCAGTTTATTCTCTGCCACAGCAGAGAAGGCATCCTAAGAGTCCTAGTGGTTGCCTTTTTCTGTCTAATCCCTTCATAACTTAAGCTGATTGCAGGGGAGGTGTGAGGGTGCAGTCTACATTGGGGCCTTGGTTGCAAGTAACATCTTGCAGTAACAAAAAGCTGCCACCCTGAACTAGATTACACGTCAGTTTCACAATTGTCCCAACGTTCCCCTGTAGTGTTGGTGAAAACTTCAGTTGGGTTGGTTTACTTTATTACATTTGGAGAAAGTTTGTATAAGTAAGAGCAGGCAGGCATTGGCATTATTGACTGGGAAAGAGGGGCAAAAATTAGTAGCAGAGGGGTTAACCTAGAATTAGGATGCTCTGTGCTGGGAAGAGGAAAAGAGGAAGAGTATTCCTTCTGGCAGCCAGAGAAAGTTGATTGGGCACCTGCTGGCCAGACACTGTGAAAAATGGAACTCTTGAGTAAAATGCAAGTATAGTACCTTGTATCTCAGCAGGCTCTATTGTCCTGTTTGTCAGCAGCTAAAACAGGAACTTGGCTTCTCATCAGGGTGTTGCCTGATGAGTGCCCAATCAGTTAGTCTAATTCTCTGGCTAAATGGTTTCTGGTTAATTGTCCAAGTCCTGCAAATAAGAAAATGAGTGATTTTTTTGCTTTGGCAATGGGAATAACAGGTGAGGATGATAGTTATGCAAGGTCTTTGGGTACATATCTAATCTTACTAGATGTAAATAGTTGGTACCCAGAGAACCTTGTCTGCCTATATCCTTAGACCAACATGGCTACAACCAACAATCCTAAAGCATGGATGATAGTTACAGCACTTGAAAATATACCAGGTGTTTTGCAAAAGATGGAGAAGAAATGCCCTTGTACTAAGGAGTTTGCTTTAATGCAAAATGTAGCTCCCTCGTGTTAGAATCTGCAGAAGTAGACCTGAGAGAGGAGTTTACAAGTTACAGAAGTAGGAGAGAGAGGATACAACATGTAACAAGATGAAGGAGTGTGTAAGACTGGGGCAGGGTATAGTCTTGCATATTAAGAAGTGAGGAAATAGCACAGAGAACACCAGGGGAGAATGTGGTGTGACTGATGGAAAGAAGAACAAGTGGAATGGAATTAGGAAGGGAAAATATCTAATAAAATCAAGTGATACATTGAATTAAAACTTGAGATGCTTTCTAGTTGTTTGATAGCATGTTTAATTTAAATAGACTACACAAACTCCATAGCTGTTTCTTTTGGCTGCAGAGGAATGGCTTTGGGAGAGCATGGTAGCACAGTTTTCATGTCAGTTAGTATGTTTAATGATGGCGCTGACTCATTGAAGAAATTTCCAAGTTCTTTGTCTAACTGACTTTCCTTTTGTTTTCCTCTCCTTTTCCTAAAAGTTGCGTATTTTGTAAATGCATAAGATTGTGTTATAATTCCAGGACGTATTGAATCATAGTGCTAGTTTAATTTATACTGTTGTACGTGGAAAAGGGCATGCAGCTTCTACTGGTCTGTGACGAAAATACCTCCAGTGGTTATTTGCATAGTTTCTCTCTCAAAAACTTTGATATGCATAGAAGTTAATAAGATGATATCCCTTTCTGGCTCCATAACTTGTGCCAGTGGATGTCTCTTCTTTTCTGAGGATTCCATACATGCACTTAACTGAAATACATATTTTTTTTTCTTTGAAGTAACAGAATTTAAGGGTTTTATTATATGAATTGTCTTGATAAAGAAACAATATTTTGGGAAAACATGGGAGAGATCATTGGAACATCAAAGAACAGCATATACTCATTTGTATGAAACCATTCTAAAACTTTTCATGCTGTGTGAGAACTGATAGATGCTGTAGAGTCCGTTGCTCATGGCATGCATTACACACTTCAGTGATCATATAGAATGGTTTGTATTCAACATATTTTCTCTTTCTCCATTCCATTCAGCCTATCCTGTGGGCATGCTTGACCCCATGTAGATAAAAGCATCATGCACTTCTAAAGAGAAAACAAGTTTTAGGAGACAACATAAAATATTTTAAATTTTATTAGGTAAATTCTCCCCAGATGTGGTATACTATCTAGAGCAGTAGTTCTCAACTCGGATGCTGTATCACGAGCATTTCTGCCTCTGCCATGACCAGGGAAAAGTGGCCCATGTGCCTCGTGCACAGCCAGATGGAAAGAGCAGCAGTATGCTTGTGTGCTCATCCTGCTTTAGGGTTTTCTGATAAAGCTAAAGCATGAAGGAGAGTCTGTTCATGCCACTGTCCTTCCTAGTCTGCCTTATGCCCTCCAAGCTCCTCCTGAAGAGTCACCTAGGACAATTCTACCTGCCCTTTACATCTGTTCCTGGGAGATGCTGTGCAGAGTCATACTGGCAAGAGCTGTGGCAAAAGCAGTCTCCTGCAGGCTTTAGTCTTATCAGGTAATCCTAATGAAGCCGGATTGCAAGTATGTGCCTTAGCCCTTCCCAGTCTGGCTGTGGATAAGGCATGTGGGGTACTTTGCCTGGTGGCAGCAGCATCCTGGTTAAGAAGCGCTGAGGTAAGTTGAGCACTGTTAGAGGTGCTGCATTTTCTATTGTAAAAGTTTCAAGCTGGGAGGTGACAGGGTGTTGACTTTTTCTTTTAGATAAATTATTAACTGCATTCTGGATTTTCAGCAACCAGCAGTGCTGGGAAAAAATGGTGACACCGTACTACTTAACTAAATCTGAAAAAAACTTTTCAGGCCAGTTTTTAATAGTCTTTTCAAAACGGTTTCTATAAGTAAGCCTTCTGTGTTCCACTCTAGATCAGTGGTTTTTCACCTTTTTAGGTTCCAGGCATCCTTCCATAACTTGCTTGAATTTCTTTCTTCAGTGTATGCCACGGAAGTTGAGACCATGCTTTCCTTCTCTTCCTATCCCTTAAATCTATAAATAATAGAATATTAAATAAATAAATGTTGAAAATTGAAGTAAATCTGTTCCATCTGTTTCATTTTTCCAATTTTTCCTCATCATCCATAGACAACCATGATCTACCATGACTATCTACTTGGTGTGTTACCCTTAGTATCAGCATCGTTAGGAGGTTTTTTACGTCAGCCACAACGTTAATGTGGCAGAGTACAATTGTTGAGTTAAGGTTTGATCAAACATGCTTTTTCCCAGACTTTATGCTGCTTGGGTTTTTTGAGTGCAGTTTTCTAATAAGTGATGAGTTACCTCAGTATAATTTACAGCTTGTGTTTCTGCAGAAATTAAGCTTTTTTTTTTTTCCTGGCTATTTCATGGTTGTAGGAATGTGGTCACCAGGAAGTGGATCTTGATCCACTGGTAGATCTTGGAGTCTCTTGGAGTTGATCCAGGGCTGGGGTGGGGGGGGCTGAGTGCCTGCATGTGAGGGTGGGAGGGAAGGGGTGGGGATTGATCAACCATGGTGAGGGACAGTGCCAGAGAGGCAGGAACAGGGGTAAGTTAAGTGGGTCTCTGGCCAGGTGGGACTTACCTGCTGTGGGGAGGTGCGCCTCCAAATAATTTTTTTGCCTCTATCTGCGCTCCCCATCCCTCCCCACAGACTTATCTGCTGGGTGGGGGAGGGGGGTTGCTTTTAAATGCCAAAGGTGGTCTGATTAAAAAGGTTGGAGACCACTGTTGTAGGATATGCACAAGCAAAGAGTTTGGGTGCCGATTTTTCTGCCAATTCAAAATTAACTTGACTTTTTACATGTTATATCAGTATCTAGAAATGAAAATTATAAGAATTACTTGGCTGTAGTACTTATTTTAAAAAATATTCATTTCATGCCCCTAGACACTTTTTAAAATGTTTTTTTCTTTTTTAATATTTTAAAATGCATTTCTTAAATACACATATGAATTTTTCAGGGTCAGCTGGGGCCAGCTTTCTTGATTTTTTTCTTTTCCTTTTTTTCTGTATTTCCAAACTGGGATTTATGTAATATATTTTCATACTTTAGCATAATTAAACAGTTGCTACTTTGTACAGATATATATAATCTGAAATCTACTAAAACTTTAAAAAGACAAATGCTAGTAATCTTTTATGAAAGCCATGACAGTTCTGCTGGGCCTGAATGAACAATAAAGTAAAGCACTTACAAATTTTAAAAAAATAAGGCTCCAGGCAGTGGTTGTTGACACTTATTAAGAAGAGGCTTTTTTAAGTCCTGAACTTACTAAAAAGTACATCTCTTCAAAATTAGGAACATTAGGTAAGGATGTTGAAAGTTGCTGTTCCATAATGTTTGTGGAGAGATCTCTTCTACAGTGAAGTTCTATAATGAAAAGAGCGGATAGTAAATGGATACTTAATGCTGTCTTACTCCACTACAGCTGCCTTTGGCATATTATACACAGGGGAACGATTGGAACTGACACTTGTAAACTGACAGTTGAAAATCATATCTTTTTGCTGACTGTGCTGAATGTAAAGGCTTTGGTTATTTGCTTTAAATTGTAGTTAATAGGCTTAAATCAAACTAAGAGGCAGTCAGATACTTCAGAACATACTTATCTAACTTTTTATTGAAATTCCATATGAGCTTAACTAAAAAATAATGTAGTTTTTATATGTTATCACTGGAGCGCCCCAAGGGATAACAAGGACCAACGGTCATAAATTCCTCCAAGACCGTTTTAGGTTGGACATAAGGAAAAAGTTCTTTACTGTCCAAGCCTCCAAGACCTGGAATAGACTACCTCCGGAAGTGGTGCAGGCACCTACTCTGGACTCATTCAAGAAACGTTTGGATGCTTATCTTGCTGGGATCCTTTGACCCCAGCTGACTTCTGCCCCTGGGGCAGAGGGGTTGGACTTGATGATCTTCAAGGTTCCTTCCAGCCCTAACATCTATGAAATCTATAATTAAAAGCTAAATAATGCCAAGTAAGCAGCTTTACCTGTATCTCTCCTGAGCTTGTTTTTAAGTAAGGGTGGACTTAAGCTACAAGTAGAACATATTTAAAATCACTGTATTGCACGTGTGCACATGTATAGATAAATGTCTATATATTTAAATATACTATGACATTTTATTTTGTTTTGCAGGAAAATTTTTACCTCTAAAGACAATGTTAGGACCAAGATATGATGATCAAGTTGCTGAAGAAAATCGTTTCCATCCCAGTATGCTGTCCAATTATTTAAAGAGTCTGAAGGTAAACTTAATTTTGTAAATATATCCTACCACTTAAATGCAACAGTTTTTAATCTTACTATGTTAATGTATTTTCATTTGTGTATTTAGCATTCCCATATCTTTTTCTTTTCTTCATTTTTATAAAGAAAATATAATAGCTGACTTCTCTCAGGATTTTGGTAGAAATGTTTTGTCTTGTTAACTTAACATTATAAAAATTTCTGTGGCTAAATGGTTTCACTAGCAAAACTGAACTTCCTTTCTTGTGTATACCCTTTAGTGAACATTAGCATTATTGTCAGCTGAAGCCCATTTAAGTTTTGCATATAAAATTGTGTGTGTTCTTTTTTGCTGAGTGCTCTTAAATGAAGAATAAAAGGCATTTGGGATCTATTTAGTGTACAGGCAACCCCTGCTTACCGCGGTTTTGCTTACTGCGGTTTTGCTATAGCGCTTATTAAAAATACCTATCTGGTTTCACTTAGTGCTCAGTGGTTTCGTTATAACACTCAGCACAGGGGGTGGGGTGAGGTAGCGGCATCGAGTGAAGCAGTGAGTGGCAGCCAGCGAGGCCCAGGGTGGGGTGGCAGAATTCCAGGGTCCACTCTAGCACATGGTGCTGCAGCGGGTGGGGAGAAGCAGTGGCGAGAAGGAGCAGGTGGGGGGCTGGGCAGCATAAGCATGGAGCCTGGGCTGGTGGGGCCCAGGGCGGGATAGCAGGAGCCTGGGGTCCGCCCCGGCACGTGGTGCTGGAGCGGCCAGTGGGTAGAGAGGAGTGGCAGTGGCGGCGAGAAGGGGTGGCGGGGCGTGAGCACAGGGCCTAGGCTGGAGCCCAGGGCTACAAGAGCACGGGGCCCGAGGCCAGGGCCAGTGTAAGCCAGTGCTCAAGGATGTGTGCAGTGTCCCCCGCCACAGTGGAGCCAAGCCTGCAAAGCCCCGCTGTCCCTGGTCTGCAGCCCGTGACCTGTTCCACTCCGGTCACAAACTGACTTGTCGGAGCCCTGCTGCTTGCTGTTAATCCCTGGGCGGGCAGGTTCCCTAACTCAAGCCCCACAGGCAGGGCAGCTGGGGCCGCACCGGTGGCCTGTGGGTGTGGGCTGGCAGGGGCCATCACAGCAGCAGAACAATGAGGCCAGGAGGAGCCGATGCTTTCCCTGGTGGGGCCCGCGCAGTGCCTTGCTGGGAATGGCAGGGCCAGGGCTGGCAGGAGTGCAGGAACCAATTATATTTATTTACATTAAACCCTATGGGAAAATGAATTTCACTTAATGCTGTTTCTCTTGGCGCTTGGTTTTTCCGGAACCAATTAAGAACACTAAGCGGGAGTTGCTTGTACAGACTGATTGTAACAACTGTGATATCAAAAGATACCAATACAAGCTGTTAAGATGCACCTGTTGTATCTGCATGACTAGTGATACAGGTGTAGCAAAATGATTCTGTTTGTTTTATGGCTTTGCTTCATCCAGGCTCAGTTAAAGTGATTTTTAGCTAATTTGTATCTCCACAGGGTCATGCAGATGTCACTGTTAGCTTGTCACAGCTGCCATGCATTTCCTGATCAGCCACCCCCATCAACAGCTGCTTCTAAAGCAGCTAAATACACATTTGTCCATACTCACTAAAAACATGAAGGAGCTTTGCTCTTGCCCAGTGATAAGAATTGGATTAGAAGGAGTTCTAAGTTCTTGCCCCTGTTCTGGGAACACTTATGTGTTTTGAATTAAAGTAATTGGGTAAAATGCACGAGCAGTAACTGGAATCCAAAGGCTTTGGAAAATGGATTCTCCAGTGGTAAAGACAATTTGTCATATACAGTTGTTAACTGACTCAAGTCCATTGAAAATTTGTACTGTGGATAACTGATTCACAGTTGATGCTTGGTTCCTGCCTGTCCCTACAGGCTTTCATGTCCATGTGGTTACCCCAGATATGCATGAGAAGTTGTGGGAGAAATTGATCATTCTGGGTGGGGTTTGTTTAAGTGGCAAAATGCTGTTGCTACTGTAGATACTTAGCCATAGTGATTAAAAGAAAGCAGTAAGATGTTTTCTGACTAGGACTAAGAAGAATTTTTTTCATGTGACCATTTAGTCCATAATGACTCACTGCAGGGTTTCTTGTCCTCTTCTCTGAAGTATTTTGTAGCAGTGCCTGACAGGTGGGAAATTGGACTATATGGGAAAATTGTACCGCTGTCTGAAATGGTATTGTAACTCCTTCCTTGTGATATTACATAATATTTCTCAGTAACAGACTGGTGAAACAAGACGTCCCCAAGAATAGTCCTTTGCATTGTGAGGCTGTTAATAGACGTGCTGACACAGCCATTTTAAAGTCTCTGTGGGCATGTGTGATAAATGGAGGATAGTATCCACAAAGTAGATGAAGACTGTAATGTTAACATAATGAAAGTATTAGGTGACTAATATGCACAAGTAATGCTATTTCTTTTGCGTTAGCAGCTCTGCATCAGTGGTTTGCATTACAAACTTCACTGGCAAAGATCTTTACACTCAATCACAAGTTTCTCAACCATTTAACATACACTTCCCTCTTAGTAGCATCATATGGAGTGAACCGCGCATGGCTGACTGAAGACGCTGTGATTAGGTGAAATGATGCCATACCTGCTGGAACCAGCAATTCCCATGATAGACAAAAGAACCTGAGCTATGAAGGCACATGTTCAGCAACAGTGGAGGCCAAACTTTATGGCTGGCATATCACAAATTAGCCTTGCACCTCCCCTTCCCCCCTCCCCCAGGGCCAATTTTGTTCCCTTCTCCTGCTTTTCAGAATCTGCTTCTCTGCTTTCTGTTCTGTACTCTGTGCTCCCTGCCCTATTGCTCTGCTTTATGCTTCCTGGTCTGCTTTCTGCTGCTTGTTGTTTGCCGTGCACACCGCAGGCTGCCTCCGCCACTTGTGGCTCTCATGCGGTATGTTGACCACCGCGGTTCTAGAATATATTTCATACATGGTGAACTCTGGTCAGTTGGTGACAGTCTGGATCCAGAGTTCATACCAGCATTCCTTGGCTTTTATGATAGTTCAGTGAACAAATCAAAATCTTTGGGCTAGAGGCAAGTAAATTAAAATAGTGAATTTTTGAGTTAACTGTGAGGAAACATTTAAACGGTCTTTGAGTTTAGTATTTTGATAGTAAAACATTTTCTTATTGTCTATAAATCTTTGCCATAAAAACTCTCTTAATGGCATTGTAGAAGTTGTTGGAGATTATTGGCAGTTCTGACAAGAATTTTTGAGGCTTCTGATTTCTAGGAAGAAATGGGAGTCACTTTGGGATTTTGAAACCCAGGAATTTTTAAAATTCAAGTGGGGATGGACCTCTTTGTTTCCTTTCACTTCTGGGTAAGGATAAAGTGGAGCCTTTTGTATTATAGAGGTTGTTTGAACATCTTGTTTGTTTACCACATGATAATTATCCAGTTGCCTCACTGCATCTGGCTATGAGAGGTGTAAGCTCATTGACTTGCATTTCTGCTAAAATGATCAGTGATGTAGTAGTTAAATGGTATATAGTTTATCACCTTTAAAACAATAGATTTCAACAGTTCACGCTTCTCAGAGCTATTATTTTAAGTTGCCTATAGCTGTTATTTCAAGTTTATCTTTGTAATCCTTGCATTGGACACCAGTTAGCTTCAGGTGCAGACAGTCCATTTGGAAAATGGCTTTTAATTAAAATATGTTAACTAATTGACTTTTTTTTTAATGGCTCTTTTTTCCTTAGGCTAGGAAAATCCTAGAAATGTTAAACTTAACTTTGTACTTTAAACAAAGCTTAAGTTCTGGAGTCTACCTATAGGAAATACAAAAAAGGTCAATTAAGTGGCTGCATAATCTCAGAGCTGATTGGCAAAATGGGAGAAGTTTTCAAGTGTGTGTTTTGGTCATCAAAAAAGTAAAGCTACAGAAATGACATGTAATATAGGAATTGTAAGGTGGGTTGAACTGAGAAGGGAACAGTCAGGCTGGTGGTAGGTTACTAGTGGGATCCCTAAATGGTTGATCTGGGAATGGATTTATTTTTTGTGCCAAAGTCATTAATGAAAATACTTAAAAAGTGCTGCTGAAACTTACGGATGACAGTGTTTGGACCTTTTTTCTATCCAGGGGAGACTTGGATTGTTACGCAGAAGTGACTAGATAATCTGGAGGACTAGACTAACAGAAATGGGATGAAATTCAGCACGAGGTCATACACTCAAAGGACTAAGAGCCAAAATTCTTGTTACATGCTTGAGGCTTGCTAAGTGGGAAGAAAGACTTTGAGTATTAGATCACAGGGTGACTAGGAAGCAACAATGTGGGATGGCTGGGGGAAAAAGACCAATGCCAATCCTCAAATGGCTAAGGTGAGGAGGTGCTAATGTCACTGTAGAAGACCTCATGCAGATTACTACACATAGGTCCAGTCACTCATGTTTTTGAAAGATAAACTCAGGCTGGAATGAGTTGAGAGAGAGGCTACTAAGATGATCAGGGGAATGGAGAGCCTGTATTGTAAGAGGAGATTAAAAGAGGTTTGCTTGTTTAACCTTGTAAAACAAATGCTGAGAGAGGATGTGATTGCTGTCTATAAATCCATCTAGGCCAAACCCTAGGGAGGGGGAATAGCTACATCAACAAAAGGATAGTGTTAGCACAAGAAGAAATGGACATGCTGTCACCACAAATAAGTTTTTTTTTTTAAAGCTGGAAATTAGGTAGGTTCGTAACCCTTAGTGAAGTTCTGGAATACCCTTCTGATAGGAGTGGGTTGAAGGCAAGAAACTTGGCTAGTTTCAAGACTGAGGTAGATTATTGTGTTGAAGAGAAAATATGATGTCATGTCCTGGTAGCATCAGGGTACTATTATTGATGACCTATAGGGTCTCTTCTAGTTCTGTATTTCTATTTTTATAATTAAACCTACAAATTTTAAAAATTTTACTGAGAAATGATCAAATTCAGCTTTCAAATTGTTCACTCTCCAAATGTTCTTCATTTGAAATC